TTAATGCACACTGATAAGATAGCTGTCAGAGTCTAACAGAACTGTTTCAAATGAAGTTAAAAACAATTCAGTGTTACTAGAGTCATCTTATGGGGAAAAAACCAAACGAGCTTTTAAGTGGCAACCCAATAGTACCATTTATAACCAAAGTATAAATACTCATGAGTCCATACTAGTATAAGTAAATCACTAAATACATAAATGAATAAATAGACAATTCATCTTTGCAGAATTTTAAATATGTAGATACTCTGCCCTTAGGAAGGTGGATTATAGCTCTCTACTGTTTAATAACGGGTTGCGCATAGTAACAGCCTTCCAACTAGTAGAGGAAGGCATAAAAGAATATAGTAAAGAACTGTGACCCTGATAAACATCATCTCAGAAAGGTAGACATGGACAACACCAATAGTGATAAATCATGCTGATATTATGTACCCTTAATATATAATGAGAATGCACTTTAAAGTTTTCCTTTTCAAAATCTGTAACCCCAGTCTAATAAGAAAAACATCAGGCAAGCCCCAATGAACAGCATTCCACAAAATGCATGAACAGTACTTCCCAAACCTGTCAGGGCCATGGAAATCAAGGAGAGGATCTGTCAGAGAAGGAGACATGACAACCTAATGGGATCCTAGAACTGAAAAAGGATATTAGGTATAAACTAAGGAAATCTGATACAGTATGGACTTTGGTTAATAATTAACTCTAAGTTTTTTTACGTGTAATATATTATTATAAGGTGTTAATTGGGGAAACAGTATGATGCATAGGGAAACTACCCTGTCTTCATAATTTTCTGTAAATTTATACTATTCTAAAAAGTTTTTTTAAAATTCATGTATTCATACATATATTAAAACAGATTGATAAATTATGTAGATTGATCACATAAGAAAAGGTGAAACTTTATAGTGCCAACTAAATGTAGACAAGTAGAGTTAGGAAATTTACATATTATAACCATCATAGTAACAATAGATTTAAGCAAGAATTTTCAGTGGATGATAAAGCCATTGAGTGAAAATTTATTACAGAACAGGATATTTATGTAGCCCCCAAGTATCTTCCCACATTACTCATTACAAAGTGGAGGAAAATTAACCTTTACAGTGGAGATCTGTAGACATCATTTTAACCAAGTAATCAAAGTTAACATTACCAATAGGGGGCAAATTGAAATTAAGTAGTTTCAGATTTGATGCACTTAGGAGGACACATTACTCATACAGAATTTTTGTCATAAATTGAGCCTAACCACATTGAAATTCAGACAACCTCAAAATGGAAGGACATTCTACAAATAATTTTCTGTTCCCTTCAAAATATGTTAGTGTCATGAAGGACAAAAGCTGAGGAACTATTTATAGAATAAAGGAGACTAAAGAGACAGGGCAGCTAAATGCAGCCATGATCCTAGATCGGACTCTAGTCTGGGGAGAAAAATTGTAAAGGACAATTTTGAAAAAATTTCTGAAATTTGACCATAGATCACACACTAATATCAACATTAAATATACTTGATAACTATACCATGATATGTAAGAATATTTTATATAAATATTTTATTATACTATTACAGTTGTCCCATTCTTTTCCCTTCATTTTATTCCTCTATGCCTTTCACCACCTCCCCCCACCACCATTCTCCCTGCCCCATAGTTCATGTCCATGTGTCATACATACAAATTCTTTGGCTTCTCCATTTCTTACACTATTCTTAACCTCCCCCTGTCTATTTTGTACCTACCATTTATGTTTCTTATTCCCTGTACTTTTCCCCTCCCCTCTGATAAGCCTCCATGTAATCTCCATTTCTGTGATTCTGTCCCTATTCTAATTGTTCGCTTAATTTGTTTTTGTTGTTATAAGGTTCTGTTGTTGATAGTTGTGAGTTTGTTGACATTTTACTACTCATAGATTTAAATCTTCTTTGTCTTAGATAAGTCCCTTTAACATTTCCTATTATAAGGGCTTGGTGATGATGAACTCCTTTAACTTTACCTTACCTGGGAAGCACTTTATCTGACCTTCCATTATAATTGATAGTTTTTCTGGATAAAGTAATCTTGGGTGTAGGTCCTTGCCTTTCATGACTTTGAATACTTCTTTCCAGCCACTTCTTGCCTGCAAGGTTTGTTTTGGGGAATCAGCTGATAGTCTTATGGGCACTCCTTTGTAGGTAACTATCTCTTTTTCTCTTGCTGCTTTTAAGATTCTCTCCTTATCTTTTATCTTGGGTAATGTAATTATGATGTGCCTTGGTGTGTGCTTCCTTGGGTCCAGCATCTTTGGGACTCTCTGAGCTTCCTGGATCTCCTGGAAGTCTACTTCCTTGGCCAATTTGGGGAAGTTCTGCTTCATTATTTTTTCAGATAAGTTTGTAATTTCTTGCTCTTCCTCTTCTCCTTCTGGCACCCCTATGATTCAGATGTTGGAACGTTTAAAGTTGTCCCAGAGGTTCCTAAGCCTCTCCTCATTTTTTTGAGTTCTTGTTTCTTCATTCTGTTTTGGTTGAATGTTTATCTCTTCCTTCTGCTCCCAGTTGTTGATCTGAGTCCCAGTTTCCTTCCCTTTACTATTGGTTCCCTGTACTCTTTTTCTTTATTTCACTTTGTATAGCCTTCATTTTTTCCTCCACTTTGCACCCATACTCAACCATTTCTGTGAGCATGCTGTTTACCAGTGTTTTGAACCATGCATCTGATAGATTGGCTCTCTGTCACTTAGTTCTGTTTTTGGAGCTTTGACCTATTCTTTCATTTGGGCCATATTTCTTCGTCTCGGCAAGCCTGTCATGTTGGAAGGGGCAGAGCCTTAGGTATTCACCAGGGCAAGCAAACCAGGTCTCTGTTGTGACGCCGTCTTTGGGGGAGAGGTCCAAGAGGGAACAATGTCAGTTACTCCGCTTTTGGTTGGCTTTCGGTCACTTCCCCTGCTACCCACATGCAAATTGGGCCCTTCTGGTGCTGATTCCTAGGTGAGTGGTTTTGTGTACGTTCTAGGACCCCATGGGTCTCTCCAGTGAACTCTCCAGTGAGGCTGGGAGTTTCTCCTGCTGCCACATCCCCCACAGGTTTTTACAGCCAGAGGCTTTGAGGCTTTCTTTTCATGCACTGGAACCCTGGATTGTGCAGTCTTGTCTTACTCCCCAGCTGTTGCTTCTAGTTTACCCACAACCAAATGTGGGACTGCTCAGTCTGCCAGCTGCTGCCTTGCCTGCCTGATCCTCCAGCCGCCACCTTGCTGCATGTCTTCTCCGCGCTGGCTGCCCATCTCCTCCCCTCCTACCAGTCTGGATGAATGTTTCTTCTTTAACTCCTTGTTTGTTGACTTCCATACAGTTCGATTTTTCTGGCAGGTCTGGGTTGTTTTGTTTTTTTGTTTTTAATCTGTTGTTGTCTTTCTTTGGATTGTGCAAAGAGGGAAACTGTTTCTACCTATACTTCCATCTTGGCCAGAAGTCCTGGTTTCTCTTTTTATTTGGATGCCTTTTATTTTTATTTTTCTTGCCTAATTGCTCTGGCAAGACTTCCAGTACTATGTTGAATAAACGTGTCCTTATCTTGTTCCTGACCTTACCAAAAAAGTTTTAATTTTTTACCATTGAGTATAATGTTACCACAGAGAGTGGTATTGTCATATATGGCCTTTGTTAGTAGAGATACATTTCCTTTAGACCTACTTTGTTGAGAATTTTATTGTGAATAGTTGTTCAATTCTATCAAATGCTTTCTCTGCATCTGTTGAGATGATCGTATGGTTTTCTTCATTTTGCTAATGTAGTATGTCACAATAATTGATTTACAAACATTGAACCATCCTTGCATCCCTGAAATAAATTCCACTTGATTATGACCCTTTTAATAAGTTGTTGAAATTGGTTTGCATCTCTGTTCATCAGGGATATTGGCTAGTAATTTTTTGTAATGCGGTTTTCTGAGTATCAGGGTATTGCTGGCCTTGTAAAATGAGTTTGGAAGTATTCCCTTATTTCCTGTTTTTTGGAAGAGTTTGGTAAGGTTATATATTAATTCTTCTTTAAATATTTGGTTGAATTCACCAGAAAAGTCATCTGGTCCTTGGCTTTTGCTCATCGGGAAGTTTGATTATCTTTTTATACTTAGGACATAAAAGCAGATTTCATGTGTCTTACTATATTCTAAGGAAATTGCTTTAAGGATTCCCAGAATATTTAATGAAAACCCTAGTTGCCAGTAATCTATAGTGCAGGTGAAAAGAATCCCATAGTTACAAGTGTTACTTTGTTGCATGCATATGTCTTTGTTTCTACCCATAACTTGGAACTCCAAAAATATATATATGGACCCTATCTCACTATTTACAGTTAGAGTTGTTTATTGTATGATGTTGTTATGTCCAAGAATGCCTATTTTAACATAGAATAATAACTGTCAAAAAGTTAATTTGGAGGATGGTAAATTTTGTTAGGTATATATTACCACAAAAAACAAAATTAGGGGGGAATGTAAGGATGGTTGACAGAAGGGAATTTCAAGAGGCTCTCAAACATGTAAACAGTTTTTCTTTTTTTAATCCCACACCTTTAATTACTGATGATGAAAATGAATTCTCAGATTTCTTAGCTAAAAGAGGTAGAAATACCTATCACTCAGTTTTATCAACACAATTGAATAAAAGGGAGAGGAAAAAGATACAGAGCACATATCATTATATCCCCCACACATAGCAAATAGTTAATACAAAGCAACTGCTGTTATAACGTGCCTTTCTTGAAGTCACACAGCCAGTCTGTGGCAGAGTCCCACCCAGAATCCAGGTCTTCTGACCCTGAGTCTCTTAAACGCTTACCATGCCATTCTGATCACTAGGCATAAATTCCTCGTTCAGTCAGCAAGTTTTCTGAAACTTTATATAAACTGCTCTTTCCTTTTTTCTGTAAGTGTGAATACTATTTCTAAAGGGAATGAAAATTTTTTGAAAGTCCTTTAAAATTTTTCTTTTCTCCTTTCCAGAGTCCAGATGTCATTCAGAATTTGAAAATACTACCCATTCTGTGTTCAGGTCAGCCAAGTTTTACTTTCATCATCCAGTGCACCTACCAAGTGATCAAGATTTTTGCCATGAGTCCTTAGGGAGAAGTGTTTTCATGAGGCATTCTTGGAAAGATTTCTTTCAGCATCATCCAGAGAAACAACATACTTGTCTACCTCCCCCTTATCAAAATGAGGAAAAGGCAAAGACAGATTATACCAGAATAGAGAGTGTCAGCATCAATGTAAATTTGGAAAACAAAGAAGTGATACATCCTACTAAAAGTCAGGCTAGAGATTATGCAAAGTGTGACAAACAGATTAATGACCAAAAAAAGGATCTAAAAGTCAACCCAGAGCCCACAACTCAGCACATTACAAGTTTAAATGAACTCTGGAACAAGTATCAGGAGCGGCAGAAGCAGCAGAAACTTCCAGGGTTCGGTGACAGGAAAGAAGTATCCTTGGTGGAACGACTTGATCGTTTGGCTAAACTTCTTCAGAATCCCATCACACATTCTCTGCGGCCCTTAGAAAGTACACAGGATGAAAGCAGAGGGCAACGAGACGCTAAGGAATGGAGAGGTAGACAGCAACAACAAAAAAACAAGCTTCAGAAAAAGAAGCGATATAAAAGCTTAGAGAAATGCCATAAAAACATAGGAGATCTTAAAAAAAGCAAGGTGCTCTCTACTCATCAAGCTGGAAGTTCCAATCGGATTAAAATTGAACAGGTTAAATTTGATAAATATATTCTGAGAAAACAGCCAGATTTTCATTATATAAATAGTACTTCTTCAGATTCTAGACCCTCAGAGGACAGTGAGCTGCTCACAGATACTGCCACCAACATCCTTTCTACCACTGCCTCTCCTGTGGAATCCGACATATTGACCCAAACAGATAAAGAAGTAACTTTGCATGAGAGGAGCAGCTCTATTTCCACCATTGACACTGCCCGATTGATCCAGGCTTTCGGCCATGAAAGAGTTTGTTTGTCACCCAGGCGAATTAAATTATACAGCAGCACCACTGACCATCAGAGGAGATACATTGAGAAGCGGAGCAAGAACAAAAAGAAAGCATTGAGTACAAGCTATCCCCAAATGACTTCTGAACACACCAGAAGGAAACGCATCCAGGTACATGGCTACAAATTGCATCTGGCAATGTGACTTCCTTTTTCATGGACTTTGTAGTTAAGCTTTGCACACAGGTGGAAAAAAAAAAAAAGCCATGCCCTTTCCTCACTATATTTCTTACCAACTGGAAAAGAGTGAGAAAGTGTAGTACAGTGCTATTGTGAGTTGTCTTTCTTTTCATCAACATTTATTTACAAATTACCCTTTGGGTGAAGGGCTTTGCTGCTAACTGCTTCAGAATCAGCAAAGTACATCCCTGGCAAGGGGAGGCTTTGCGTTTAGAAAGACCTCCATTCTGAACAATACTGGTGGAGGGTTTTGGGGGGACAGTTGTTAATTCATTCTTCCCTGTCTTTCCAGAAATTTTGAGTTGCTTTTAAACACACATACACAAACACATATAATACAATATGGTTTTTTAAACATAAATGAAGATTTTGAATGAAAGAAAATTATGGAAGCCAGAGTGGAGTGAGCTACAACATGATTTTTAAAAATAAATAAAGAATTGTAAGTAATGGGAAGACAAATTGATGCTGGAGGAGAGAGAAAATATACCTTGTAGATATGTTTGTGAGCCACTAATTTTGCTTTCTTTTCCGCCAGTTCCTAGAATTTTGTGACCAATCACATTAATCTATAATATAAAAACAAATTAAAATTTCAAAAGCATTACATATTTCTGGTACTAAAACCTAAGAGAGATTTACCTATCTATCCTCATATAGGAAGCACCACAGTGTAACAGAGTCCTCAGCAGCATCCTTATGGTAAGGTTCAGTAACAATGCCTATGAAGCTCATGTGACCTTATGAGGGAGTTCAGTAAAGACATATCTCAAAGGGTCAACAAATTACTTTAACCCAAGAATAAAAGGGTATCTAAAGAACTGCTTTACAAAGAGTGATCTTTGCAAAAAGGTTCTTTGGAGTATAGAAAGAAAACTTATTTTTTTCTCAAATTTAAAATTTATATTTTATATGTTTATAATATATGAGTACAATAGTAATATAAATACAGAGTGGGGTAAAGGTAGGTTTATAGTTGTGAGTAATGCAAAACAGTTTATTCTTGTATTTTTATGTGAACAACTGTAAACCTACTTTTGCCCCACCATGTAAATATCTACTTTGGTAATTGATGCTCAAAAATATTTTATCAGTAGGACCCATGATCAAATAGCTTAGAGACCGCTAGTCTGAAAGAAAGAAGGAACAAGACATTCAGACAATTTACCATAAATATTATATCTCATAATTGAGGTTGGGAGGTATTCGGTGACAGTGATTGCATATATAAATAATACAATAAAAAAGTTTTGTTTAAATAAAAAAAGAGTTAGGAATAGTACTGATTAAGGCTTTTTGTTCCATGGAGATAGGGGGAAAGGATCCAGGTAGAGGCATTTTTGTGTGTGTAATAAAATACATGCACATAACAAAGTTTATCATTTTAACCATTTTAAAGTGTACAATTTAGTGGCATTGAGTACATTCACAGTGTTTTACAACCATCACCACTATCTAGCTCAATAACTTCTTCATCACCCCAGTGGAAACCTCATACCCATTAAGCAGTCTCTAGTCCCTCTTCCCAATAGCCCCTAACCGCCTCTTACCTCATTTTCTTGTTGCTATGAGCTTGCCTGTTCTGGTTACTTCATATAAATGAAATCATATCACATATGACCTTTATGTCAGGCTTATTTCACTTTAGCTTAATGTTTTGGAGGCTCATCCATGTCTTAGTACTTAGCAGTACTTCATAGCATGTTTTCAATATATACTATAATTTTTTATCCATTCATGGACATTGGGGTTGTCTCTGCCATTTGGCTATTGTGACTAGAGCTGATGTGAGGTGGGCAAGTTTTTATTTGAACACCATAAACAGTTCTGAGAATATACCAAGGAGTGGAAATACTGTCTTATGGTAATCCTCTGTTTAACTTATTGAGGAACTGCCAGACTTTTCTACAGTGACTACACTATTTTACATTCCATCCTGAGGGTTCCAGTGTCTCCATATTCACCCACCCTTTTTACTTACCTTGTAGGGGTCATCCTACTGTGAGTGAAATGGTATCTCATGCTCATTGTCATTTTGATACACCTTTTCCCTTATAGTGAAATCAAGCACCTTTTCATGTGCTTGTTAGCCTTTTGTATATCTTCTTTGGAGAACTGTCTGTTCAGGTCTTTACCTATTTTTAATTGTTCTTTGTTTGTTTGTTTGTTTGTTTGTTTTGGAATTGTAAGACTTCTTCATGTAGTCTGGAATGTAGGCCTTTATCAGATGCATAGTTTGCAAATATTTGCTCCACTCTGTAGGTTGTCTTTTTACTTACTCTTCCTGTCCTTTGATGCACAACAGTTTACTCTTGATGAAGAGTCTGGTGTACCTATTTTTTGTTGCTTGTGCTTTTCATGTCATCTAAGAAACCATTGACAAATCCAAAGTCATGAAGATTTGTCCCTATATTTTGTTTTAAAATGTTTGAACTTTTAGCTCTTTCATTTGTATCTTTGATATATGCTAATTTTTATATATAGTATGAAATAAGGGTCAAAACTTCATTCTTTTCCACATAGATATTTAGTTCTCCCAAAATGAGATATTGTAGAGTACTCTTTCTCCCTTGAGTGCTCTTGGCTCCATTGTCTAAACTTAATTGACCATAAACTTGAGAGTTTTATTTATAGGCTTGCAATTCTGTTACTTTTACCTACATTCCTACTTGCATGTCATTACTGCAATTTTTTTTTTTTTTTGCAGTAATTCATACAGTAAATTCTTTGGCTTCTCCATTTCTTACACTATTCTTAACCTCCCCCTGTCTATTTTGTACCTACCATTTATGTTTCTTATTCCCTGTACTTTTCCCCTCCCCTCTGATAAGCCTCCGTGTAATCTCCGTTTCTGTGATTCTGTCCCTATTCTAATTGTTCGCTTAATTTGTTTTTGTTTTTATAAGGTTCTGTTGTTGATAGTTGTGAGTTTGTTGACATTTTACTATTCATAGTTTTAAATCTTCTTTGTCTTAGGTAAGTCCCTTTAACATTTCCTATTATAAGGGCTTGGTGATGATGAACTCCTTTAACTTTACCTTACCTGGGAAGCACTTTATCTGACCTTCCATTATAATTGATAGTTTTTCTGGATAAAGTAATCTTGGATGTAGGTCCTTGCCTTTCATAACTTGGAAAACTTCTTGCCAGCCCCTTGTTGCCTGAAAAATCAGCCGATAGCCTTATGGGCACTCCTTTGTAGGTAACTGTCTCTTTTTCTCTTGCTGCTTTTAAGATTCTCTCCTTATCTTTCATCTTGGGTAATGTAATTATGATGTGCCTTGGTGTGTGCTTCCTTGGGTCCAGCGTCTTTGGGACTCTGAGCTTCCTGGATCTCCTGGAAGTCTACTTCCTTGGCCAATTTGGGGAAGTTCTGCTTCATTATTTTTTCAAATAAGTTTGGAATTTCTTGCTCTTCCTCTTCTCCTTCTGGCACCCCTATGCTTTGGATGTTGGAACGTTTAAAGTTGTTCCAGAGGTTCCTAAGCCTCTCATTTTTTTTGAGTTCTTGTTTCTTCATTCTGTTTTGATTGAATGTTTATCTCTTCCTTCTGCTCCCAGTTGTTGATCTGAGTCCCAGTTTCCTTCCCTTTACTGTTGGTTCCCTGTATACTTTATTTCACATTGCAAAGCCTTCACTTCTTCTGTTTTGCACCCGTACTCAATCATGTCTGTGAGCATTCTGACTACCAATTTGAACTCTGCATCTGATAAATTGGCTATCTTCTCGTCACTAAGTTCTTTTTCTGGAGTTTTGATATATGTTTTCGTCTGAGCCATATCGTTTTTCTCGGTGCACCTATTACATTGTAAGAGGTGGAGCCTTAAGTATTCATCAGGGCAGGGCAACTCAGGTAGCTGCATTGTGGCGCTGTTTCAGGGTGGGGAGGTGTCAGAAAGGGAACGATGCCATTAGCTCAGCTCTCGCCCCGCTTTCAGTCACTTCCCCTGCTACCGACATGCAAATTGACCCTTCTGGTGCTGATTCCCGGGTAGGGGAGTTTGTGTACATTCTAGGGCCCTGTGGATCTCTCCAGTGAACTCTCCTGTAAGGATGGGAGTTTTTCCTGCCACCACAACCCCCACAGATTTTTAAAGCCAGAGGTTTTGAGGCTTTCTTTTCTCCACACTGGAACCCTGGGTTGCGTGGTCTGTCTTGTTCCCCAGTTGTTCCTCCCAATTTATCTGCACAATAATGTGGAACCACCTGGTCTACCAACCACCGCCCTGCCGTATATCCTATCCACACAGGCTGCCTGTTTCTGCCCCTCCTACCTATCTGAATGAATGTTTCTTCTTTAACTCCTTGGTTGTCAGACTTACATACAGTTCAATTTCCTGGCAGGTCAGGTTAATTTTCATTTTTAAGTTTGTTATTGTGCTCCTGTAGGTTGTGCAAGGAGGCAACATGTACCTACCTACGTCTCCATTTTGGCCAAAAGTCTCAACACTGTTTTGGCTGTTCAATCCCTTGTATCTCCATGTTACTATGAGGATCAGCTTCTCCATTTCTCCTGTAAAGGTCATTGGGATTTTGATATTAATCGTATTAAGTGTATTTGCTCTGGGATTTATTGCCATCTTAACAATATTAAGTCTTCCAGTCTTTGAACACTGGATGTATTTTTCTTATACTCTGTAAGATAAGGCTTTAACTTTACTCTTTCGTTATGGGTATCTAGTTGTCCCAGCACCAGTTGTTGAAAAAAAGACAGTCTTTCCCCTATTGAATGGTCTTTGCATAAAAATTATTTGACCGTATATGTAATATAAGGGTTTATTCCCAGTCTATATGTCTGTTGTTATGCCGGTACCACACTGTTATGCTTTATTTGTATTTTTTGAAATACTTGAAGTCATGAAGTGTAAGACCTCCAACCTTTTTCTTTTTAATTTTTTTTAGGATTTTATTTATTTATTTTTGAGAGACGG